AGGAGGGAGAATCACCATGTGGTTCTCTCACCACAGGCCTAAAAGCACTGAGATGACTCATCATTGCCCAAGCCTGTTAGTCTAAATATTTTTCTCTTTATATGCTTCAGGTATTTATTGTAGGGGCAGAAAGCAGATTAACATGAAGGCATACCAGTCCCATCACGAACACTCCATTCTCTTCATTTCACTGGGCTTCCCTGCAGGGTTGCCACAATCAGCACCCACTTCACCTGAATGAATGACACTGGCACACCTGAGTCCGCCATCCTCTTCAGCTTCCCTGATTTGCTTTTCTATTCACTCTTCCTCAGGCTCCCTCTCCATGTTAGTTCCCCAGGGCTCAGCCTCCAATTTGCCTTCTGTCTACACTCACTCTCTTGGAGATCCCATTCATCCCCATAGCTGTACACACTTCCTTGGCAGACAGCACCACACAACCTATCTCCAAGAAGGACTTGAATGACCCCAGAAGGAAAGGACTCCTGCACTATGTACCCATGATGCCTTATCCTTCCCAGGTTCCTTAACAAAGCATTGGTTCCTGCTGCTATCATTTCTTTGTGTGGGAGCTCTATGGGGTGAGGATTGTGACGATGTCCGATACCCAGCAAGTAGCTGACATCTGTTTATGAAATGAATAAATGGGAAAATTCTAGCTGTCTACTCTCAGAGGCTAAACAACTAAACAAGCAGAGGACATGGGAGCTGTTATTGAACAAAGACATCTTGGCACATCATCTTGCAACTGTGTATCTTGAGCCTTCATGGGGTTGCAGCTCCTGCCAGTAGCAGTCAATGGGGTGCCCAGTGAAGCCCCCTGGTTGCAAAGCTTTCTGTGTCCCAGGGCATCCTGTGAAAATTGAAGCAGCAGGAATCACCACCGAACAGGGGAAACTGTAGCTTTCAGGTCCCACCTCCTCACAGTGCCACATACTCCTAAAATAGCACTCTGAAAAGAGGACCCCACAAAAAGCTCAGAAACTGAAACTTGAACTGCTATAACAGGTGCAACCTGAGTTATTATTGGGCTTAAAATTCTACTTTTAAGCAGAGACCAAAAGTAAATACATCCGGTTGTTCTAACTTTCAGAACATTCTGGAAGGTGCCTCTAAAGAGAAGAATTATGTTCTTTTTTTTTGTTTTAAAAAAAAATAACTTTTGTGATTGTTCAAATATGAGATATGGAGAGGAGGTCAAAGAGAAGATTATTGTCATCACCAGAAAAAATAAACTAAAGAACAAAGCAATTTCCCAGCGTGGAATCACTCAGGGAGATAGTGCCATTTTAAGTGTTTTCAAATGGTGTGAGGAACTTAATATTTACTCATTACCCACATAAGCTCTTGGACAACACAGCCTCATGAATAGTTTAATAAGCACAGACAAACACATTATAACATAATAGATTCAGGACTCTAATGGAAGAGAAAAGCTTTTGAAATCCATGTGAGATCATTGTGGGGATGGGATGGAGAGTTTCTCTGTTGAATGAATTGTGACCACCGAGGTCTCTATTGTCTGGCAAAGTCCACAGAGCTGGGATCCCACTCCCCACTCTTCACTAAAGCTGCTCTTCTTACATATCATCTCTTTTGACTGCTGGCTGCTTCCACGGGGGCTTCTCTGTGCCCCTTCCACAGAAGCCCTGCACACAGGGCCAGCAGACAGAGGCACAAGCTCACCAACCATTGCCAACCTTGCCCTGCTAGCCATCACTGATGGCTATCTCTGTGGATCTGCAATATCCTAGTTTGGCATAGAGATCCATTTCTCTCATGGGGCTTAGGAGACAGCTTTAATGGGCTGCCTGAATCCCAGAAGACTATTCCAAACTTGGAATCCAGGAACATGGTTTGACTAACACAGCAGTTCTCCATTCTGGCTGTCCTGGAATCACTTAGGTCTCATAAGCAATATAGATGCTCTGGCCCAACTCCCAAGACTTTGAAGCACTGAGATTCAGTGGTGTTGCCTCAGCTGCTCTTGGAGAAACTTATGACTCGACTGGGGAACACCTGGAAAATGGTATTTTCTTAAGAGATAGGCTCTGATTCAAACATGTTTGGTAAATAGTAAGTTTATACTCTCCAAAATATATAAAATTTATTTTTATTCTGTCTTCATCTCTCTATCTCTGTCTTTCTCTGTGTGTATGTCTCTGTCTCTCTGTATCTGTCTGTCTGTCTGTCTGTCTGTCTCTCTCTCTCTCTCTCTCTCTCTCTCTGTGTGTGTGTGTGTGTGTGTGTGTGTGTGTGTAGGCACATGAGCCAGGGTGTGCCTTTGGTGGTCATAGGACAGTTTGGGGGAGTTTATTCTCTTCTTCCATCATGGTTCTGGGTATCAAACTCAGGTTGTCAGGCTTGTGCAAGAGCTTTTACTGGCTGAGCCATTTCACTAGCCAAGAGGTCAAGTTCTTGCCTAACATGTGTATTGACCTACGTTTAAACCCAGCTCTAGAAGAAAGAATGAAAGAGGGGAGAAAGAGGGAGGAGGGAATAACAGAGGGAGAAAAACATTTTATCGGTGGTAAATGAAAAGGGCAAATAGGAAATGGGATATTAATGGTTTGGACTCCTAAGAGAAGGTGGAGAATAGCACATAAGAGTATTTGGAGGAAGAACACTTTATCTCAGAGAACAGCATCTATAAGAATTTGAGTAGAATGAATTGAGGGG